AATGAAATTTCCCTATGAGTAATTGCAGACTCTTGTGTAGTTTCCATTGAAACTTCAAAGGCTTTTAGTATACCCAGGATTTTGCTTAAAGAGTTTGGGTGTGGGGGCCGGCCCCATGGCCTAGTGGTTTAGTTTGGAGTGCTCTGCTTTGGCACTGGGTTCTATTCCTGGGTGTGGACCTAGACCACTCGTCAGTGGCCATGCTGTGGCGGCGACCCACATACAAAACAGGAAGAGGGACACAGATGTGAGCTCAGGGCGAATCTTCCTCAGCAAAAAAACCCCAGAAAACGAAAAAGAGAGAGAGTTTGGATGTTTGTAGCATCTCAACCTTTTACGAGTCTGTTACATAGATCACTGGATATGGGACATAGTTTCTCAAGGAAATTAAAGGATTTCGTATCATATCTCTATTATAACAGATGTTATTTTTATGGGTGGAAAGTTATGTGAAACAAGATTTGTGGTTACATTAGGGTGAAATATTCATATGTAACAACTCCATCTTATTTGACTAAGGAGGTATTAATTTCAGGGGTACATGTTCTTCTTTACAATACTTCCAACCAGCTTTGATAATTGAGAAAACCAAGGCATCAAATAATTGAGTAGGCCAAGATGATATACCAAGTTAGTAAAAAGCCAGAATTAGAATACAGGTTTCTTATCTAAGTCTAGTTCTACCTGTATTCTACCAGGCTGCATCCTATTTCTCATATCTATTAGTATTCCCAGTTGAGGTTTAGTGTTTTAAGTACAATCAATAAACCTGTTCAAAGAATAGTGAGAACATTGAATTTATGGTTAAGGCTTTGCTGTACTCAACTGCTAAAGTAAGGTATTTAGTCTTTAAAAAAAAAGCAGGGGCCAGCCCCGTGGCTGAGTGGTTAAGTTTGTGCGCTCCCTCAGCAGCCCGGGGTTTCGCCTGTTGGGATCCTGGGCGCAGACTGGCACCGCTCATCAAGCCATGCAGAGGCGGCGTCCCACATGCCACAACTAGAATGACCCACAAATAACTTAAAAATAGCAATTTAGATTTGAACCCACAGGGTCAAACTCCAGAGTCCATGCTCTAGAGACGACCGTCAAACTGTAAACTTACACACAACAGCTTGGAAAACCAAGTCCGAGGAGTCAAACTCCTTAAGATTCCCAGGGAACTTTACAGATCAAGTATCTAGTTCTTTTATGGGATATAAATGACATCAACTAAATAACCTTGTTGATATCCTTGAGAGAAGTTCTCAGAAATTCACATGTAGAACATGATTTGAACAGCTATTAATGGTATTGAATACATTTACATCGTAGTTAGGATGCATTATTACTTAGTATTCCTTAATTTCATTCAATACATAGTTGATCTAAGCTTCTCTTCAAGTTATCTTTAAGCTGTCAATAGGTGGTCGGAAAATCATTTCAAAATCCAATTAAGGTGGCAGAAACCTTGACAAAAAGTTAACAAAACCAAAAAATTGTATCTAATGAGCTTTCTAGCTATCATTTTCTAATAGATTCATCAAGAGTTCACTTACCAGGTATCACATGAAAAAGTTTAGAGAGGGCCTAGATTTAAATACAAATCTTCCTTGACTTACAATGGGGTTAAATCCCAAAAAAATCTGTCGTAAATTGAAAATGTCGTAACTCACAAATGCATTTAATACACCTAACCTACAGAACATCACAGCTTAGCCTCGCCTATCTTAAATGTGCTCAGGACACTTACATTAGCCTACATTTGGGCAAAATCAAATGACACAAAACCTATTTTATAATAAAGTGCTGAATATCTCATGTAATTTACTGAATACTGTACTGAAAGTGACAAAACAGACTGGTTGTAAGTGTCTCGGTTGTTCGCCCTGGCGATCGCATGGCTGACTAGGAGCTGCGCTCGCTGTTGCTGCCCAGCATCAGGGAGAGGATCGGCCCGCACATCGCTAGCCCAGGAAAAGATCACAATTCAAAATTCGAAGTACGGTTTCTACTGTCTGCATATTGCTTTTGCATCACGTAAAGTCGAAAAATCCTAAGTGGAATCATTCTAAGTCCGGGACCATGTGTAATCTAATAAGACATGTTCACTTAAGTACTCTGAGGGAAAAGGGGGGAGGGGCTAAAATGTTAATAGAAGCTTTTAAAGATTCTCTTTTCTTTACAATTATATATACTGCATATTTTGTCTAAGGGATGACTAAATGGAGGCAACAATCTTACCACTTTATCTGTGTGAATATCATTTATAAGAACATTTATACCCCCACTTAATATTCATAACCTAGCACATCAATGTACAGTACTAGGAAAAATTCTATTCCTACTTGCAAATTAATTCTCTTTACCTAGATCAGGCGAAGGCAAACTATGGACCCCTGGCCAAATCCAGCTGCTGCCTGTTTTTGTATGCTCCATGAGCTGATTGGTGTCTATGTTTTTTTAAGGTTGAAAAAAGCCACAAGAAATAATAGACTTTTTAACACGTGAAAAGCGTATGCAATTAAAATTTGTGTCCATAAATACAGTTTTTTTGGAACAGTGTTTATGTATAGTTCATGGCTGCTTTTGGGCTACTACATTGGAGTGGAGTTGAGAAGCAACAGAGACCTTATGGCTCGCGAAGCCTAAAATACTATCTGGCCCTTTCAAGAGAGTTTGCTGACCCCTGACCGGCCTACTCCTCACTTGGAGGGGAGGGAGGGGAAGAAGATTTGAAGTTTTAAACTAGCAATCCCTGGCTGAATTAGACCCAAGGCCTTGCAGAGGAAAGTTTGGGTTGAGTTTCAAAACAATTTTAAGTGCCTTTAGGAAAGGATCGAGGCCTTCAATTCATTACTTGCCTACACTTCTTACCATTTATTGCCTTCCTCTATTTACATTACTTGCCTGGCTTCTGAAGGCATTTGAATTTGCAATAAATGATTTAAATCAGGGGTCCTCAAACTTTTTCTGTGGGGCCAGATAGTAAATATTTTAGACTTTGTGGGGTAAGAGGCAAAATCTAGGACATTATGTAGTTACTTATATAACAAGATAAAATAAATTGGCACAATTTTTGTAATTAAAATTCAAAATATCGAGTACATTTTTTGTAATGCCTCTTTTTAGGGAATAACACTTCCTTTAACTGGGATTCTGAGTGTTTCCTATCATCAAAATCAGTTAATGATAACTTGCTAATGGTTATCTGTAATGAGATTTTATACATATCATCTTTAAAAATGTCTTTTCACACAGATAGATACTGCCAAATACTGCTATCAGTCCAGGAGCATATGGTTTTAACTGAGTGTATTTATCACTTGGAAGGCATTTGTAAAATTCTATTAGATGTTTTCTCTTGATATTTGCCTTTTAGCATATCATTACATAGTACATTAATCACTTCCAATTGAAGATTAGGTGGAAGCTCAATTGTAGTTAAATGGATTTTGAAATATGGAAACTTCCTTTGCATTTGCACAAAAGTCCCCAAAATGCTGAGCTCAGATAATATATCCACTGGCAATTTACGTGAGAATGGAAGTCTTGTCTCTTGTTTGGACTTTTGATAGTATGAGAAATGTATAACACAGGATATTGTGATTCAAACATCAATTGTTAAAATGACTTTACCGCAATATGTTTCTCATTAAAGTTATGTTTGCCTTGTAATGGTAGGTTGAAATCTTTAAGAAATATTATCAAGTCTTTAGCAAAAGTTAACTTCCAAAGCCATTCAGTGTTCTAAAATAGTGTTTAAGGGTGGTTCTTCTTAAGACAAATTTCAGTCTTGAACCTGAGCTCAAAAAATTGCAATCAAACTTTATAATTGTTAGACAAATGAAACTTAGATCAAGCAAGTCAGGAAATTCAGCTTCAATTTCTGACAAAATTCAAGGAATTGAAGATGGTTAAAGTCTGAAAGCAAATGAAGTTTGTTTACCATTGACACTACTGGTTCAGTAACATGATAGAGTCAAAATTTTCTGCATCATACGTGCTAGTGAATAATACAGTGAATAACCATAGGTTTTAAATACCTTACATTTTTCACAAGCTTTGTAAATTTGTCCAATTAGGTCTTTTTCTACCTCACCTGTTTTTTTGCCACCATCATTTATAACACATCTTAGCAGATTCCACTTCAGGTTGTATAGAATTACTGTTTTCTCAACTTTGAAAATATTCACCTGTAGTTATTCCATGCAGAATTCATAGAGGCTAATTCTTCAGTAACTTCAAACTGAGCATTGATGCTTAAATAAACAAGAACAGCAGTTTTAGTAACATCTGTCAACTCACCAAGTCAAAGAACCACTTGGACTCATTTACCTTTCAAATTGATTACTGATGTTGCTCCCAATGTCCTCAACTCTTTGACCAACTGTTCTTGCTAAAAGGCCCAGAGTCTTAAGCAAGTTTACTGTCTCTGGACACATTTTTTTGGCTGCTGCATTCAAACAACCTCACCGTCAGTAAATGGCTTTCCGTGCTTGGCTCACAAAAGCGACTGACTTTATTGGAGACTTGACTTACTTTGGTTGCAGCCTCATTTTCATTTTTTATTTTATGAAGAAATTCTGCTATGATGAGAGATTTCCAGTTTAAATTTTTTGATTTTTCTGACAGTTGCTTCTCTGAGTTGGAAATGCTGTGATGAATGTTTCTTTTGGTAATGTCAACATATATTGTATTTTAGCTCAGGTATAGATGCTTTGTCATCTAATTCAATTTCAAAATAATTTACATTCTACTGTGCCTTAAAAGCACTTTAGAAGCCCACTTACCTTGTTTTGAAATGATGGATATACACTGGTAATAATAAAGAAAAATGTTACAGCTTGATGATACCCATGGAACTCAAAACGCTAAGTTATAACCATGTCAACTATGATTTGTAGCGTGCTGAGCAGCAGTATGAAGTAATGAGAATCACACCCAGTTTGTGCTGCAACTACTCAGTTCTGCTGTTCTACCATGAAAGCAGCCATAGACAATATGTAAACAAATGAGCAGGATATGTTCCAATAAAACTTTATTTATGGACAAGGAAATTCAAATTTCATATAATTTTCAGGTCACAGAATGTTCTTTGGATTCTTTTTCAACCATTTAAAAATGTAAGAACAATTCTTAGGGCACTTGCCATAGAAAAACAGATGGTAGACCAGATTTGGCCGCTAGACAGAGTTTTCCTATCTCTGATCTAAATAATCTCATTTTTTGATACTTTTACTGTGATAGTGTAGGGGTACTTACATAAAACTTAGCTACACTTTAAAGTAAGGATAACTGCAAAGTGATATTGCTGCCTTCCTAGTTAGCACATATGCTTCAAAAACTATTTTCCCAAAAGAGACAATATTTTAATACATCTAATAAAAATTAGATATAATTTAGATTGTAAAATTATAATTATATATTACAACTTAGAAAATAAAAATATATTTAGTAGAGTTATTTAATTTAAATTTTAATTTGATAATCCTCAATTTATAAGATAGCAAGGGCAAAACATGAGTTCAATACTAAAGCAACTGGTATAATGTTATGAAATCATACAAATTACATTTCAATACATAAAAGTTTAGTGGGGAGATGGAGAAAGCATTTTCAATTAAGTGACTGAAGCAATTTGTGTTTTTTCTTCTGAAAAGGCTTTATCTGTCCTCCGGCGTTTAAAAGGTGGATCTTCATAATTCTCTGTAACAAATCCAGAAAACCTGTATTAGATAAGATATTTAACATTTGAAAATGCTTTTAAAAAGCAAGGAATATAGGCATTTTAAAGATTTTTAATCTACTCAATTTATACACGAAATAGTAACATTCCTGTGGATTTATTATTTTAATGAAATAGCCTTCTACTAGACTGAACAGTGTGTCACACTAAAATTTGTGAAATTGGTACAAACTTTCAATTGAATGGCAAGGGGTCTTGAACTGAAATATCTTAACTAGAATTAGTTTTACCTATTTCCAAATCTAATAAATAATATAAAATATAAATGTAGCCCAAGAAAGCTCCATGAACGGTATTATAAGTCACATTTAATTTCCCAGAAATTGCTCACCTGGATTTGGGGTCTGGTTCTTGTAGAGTACAGCAGCAGGAATCTGAAAGGTGATGCATAACATTTCCTTGTTCGGGGCCACATTTCTCACTAGATGAACTGAACTGCATGCCTCCAAGGAGATGCCTAACACAGCTCCAGCTCGTTGCTGAACGTCCTTAGCAGGGTTAGCATCTTTGGAAAAGCTGTAACAGTGCACTATGGGAAGGAGTTCACTGCCGCATGGCTGCCCATCTAAAAGCAATTTGAAAGCACTGAGAAACTCGATAGCCTTTGCTGGCAAGTTCATGACAATGTGCACAGAGTGTTTTCTTTCTTTTGACAGTGGTCCCAGCTGCTGCATTAACTCTTCTCTGACTGGTCCTTGGAGGAAGTCTTTCCCATCCAAGTTAAAGACTTTCACCTTTTGGTCCACTTTATTTAATTTACAATTGTGCAGTAGCCACTTATGGGATTCAGGATTGAGATCATTGGCAAATACAGTGCAGTTTTTCTTTGCTACTGGAATGGCAAAGGGCCCAACCCCAGCAAAAACATCAAATAGGACATCTCCAGGTTTGAGAAGTTCTGTGATACGGCTGTGTTCTGTAGAGAGGCGAGGATTCCAATAGACTTTTGAAAAATCAAATTCATAGGTGTAGTTGTTTTCTCGAACCTGAAAAAGGTATTACGCTTTTGGTTAATCTGCTTAGTCTTAAATTCCAGTCACTGGTATTGGATGGGAGCACCCATGCACAATCACACATTTAACTTTACAACTATTAACAGCAAATAACAGTGCATTTAAAGGCATTTTAATTAGAATTCTGGTGTTTATGATATATGTGAGGCCAGTTAATATCTCCAGAAGTTTCTCAGAAATTTTAGATCCTCTCTCTGGAAGAATGATGCTCCCTGTTACTCGAACGGTCAGTACCAAGTGAAGAACATGCACAGTGGTCAATCAGGGTATACCTAAAGGTTATGCCTTAGTGTCAGCTGAGATAAGCACTTATTACCAAAGGATTCACTTTCAAATCTTACTTGCCATAACAGACCTCGTGCATTATACACAAGCAGTAGGCAGTGGGGGGTTGGTATACAGGGAAAGACCATGCATGGGCTCTAGAGTCAGAAGCCTGGCTCCAGACACCCTGCTGAGTCATTCCTTGTTACTTCATCTGCAACCATTATCTTGTGGGCTTCTTAGGTTTTGTTATATTTGAAGCTTTTGGCTCCGGGCCTAACAGTAAGTGTGTAGTAAATGGTATTCTAATATTCTGATACAATTAAATTATGGAGAAATAATATTATGCTTAAGATATTCACCTAAGTCCATGTGGCTCAGAATCTTAAAAAATAATTACTCTGCATAAACTCTCGCCTGAGTTTTATAAAGTCCTGTTTAAAAGGTATGCGTAACAATTTAAGAGTGGCCTTTGTTATTAAAATTTTTGTCAAATTATGGAGAGTTAACCTATTTCCTGCTTGGGTACAAAATTTCACATACTATTAACATATAATTATCTAAGACTTTTGGGTTAAAAAAAGTTTATTATAGTCAGTACTCCAGAGGATTGTCGAGGTGGGGGAGGAGAAAGTGGTTTATACCAGGAATCTGTTCCTACGTATTTTAAATTATTTTTCTTTTAAATAGATTTGTTTTTATTATTAAAAAAAATACGTGCTCAGTAGAAAAGTATAAAGATGATAACAAAGGTCACCAGTAACTACACCAAATAAAAATATACCACTGTTAACATTTGATGTGTGTGCATATTTACAAAGATATTTAGTTAAAATGGAAGTCCAGTATATATACTGTTCTACAACTTGCTATTTTGTCACTTAACCTGTCAATGGGCAATTTAATAAGTATGAAGCTAAATAATCTTTAATGATAGAATATTCCACTGTATTGTTATACCAGAATTTAATCAGTTCTCTACTGATGAATATTTAGGTTGTTTCCATTCCTCTGTTTCTTTGTTATTATAAAAATGATGATGAAGAACCTAGTACCTACATCATTACAATTTTGTCCAGCTATATCCTTGGGATAACTTCTTATAAATGGAATGTTAGGTCAAAGGGTGTACCCGTTCAAAATTGCAGCATGTTACCAGATACTCTTTCTAAATGTTTATATGTAGTCCCATCAACAGAATATATAAATGTTTACATTCTCTCATCAATACTTGATATTATAAATATTTTTAATCTTTGTCATCTAAATATGAATCTTGATATATACCACACTAGGAGACAATAAAATACTCTATACCTTGGTCATCATATTCTCCTCTCCAGATAGCACTTCCATTTGGAAATTTCGATATGTATTATCAATATTATTGATTTTATTTACTGCTGAAGTGATTCCTGGATTTTTGTCAATCATAACTTGGCCTAAAAGAAAAGATGAGAATTCGTAATAAATATTGCCTACTGGTTGCAAAACAAAAGCTAAAACTGCAAATATGAAATGGAAATGAACTGTATTTTGATTTATGGACAAAAACTGCATCTAACGTATAAAGTAGTATGCAATTTTAAAACTTCAACAGATTACTAAAGTTAATGTCTGATGGCCTCGAATACAACACAAAAAAATGTATGGGCACATTTTTAAAGGAAAAATTTTGAGGAGTTTGGGTCTACCTAATATTTTTCCATGTTTTCTACTATATCTCCTCAAATGTACCAATACACAATAAGCAAAAAGCTAGACCATAGAGAACTGGTAAAGAATGAAAAGGAGACGTAAGGACTGTGGCAACAAATGGTCTCAGAAAACACCGGCCGTCCCCATTGGCCTCAAACCAAATGTTTGCTTTACTGTGCACCTGAGATCCATGCCCCCACTTTGGAAATAGATACTAGCAAAATAATGTTTTCAAATAAAAGCAATATAGATTCTTTAGAATCTTATTTTTTTAAATGTTCATTTATTTGTTCTTTTTGTCAAATACTTGCCAGAGCAGAAAAAGCTACAACGATAATAAAATATGCCAAAAATGGTATTTTGACACCGTTTAATCAGTCTACTTTTTTTGTCAGCGTTTAAAAAAATTTTTCAGAATCTATATGCTATCCCACTGCATAAGGAAAGATAATTTGATTTGTAAGTTAGTAAAAAGTCCTCAATAATATAAACATGCTGAAATACAACCAGAATTTGTCTAATTTCTCTCTGATAATTAGATACCGGATTTTAAATAGGATAATATTAATAAACTCCAGCCAATCATTGCTCTTATCCTCTTCTACTTCAGGTATCAGAACTCAATTTTTAAGGTACAAAAATTAGTCTGAAATGACGAATGAAATTAAAAAAAAAAACACAAACCTGTTCTGAAGGTCTGTAGTAAAGCTTTAAAATTATCATTGTGTGAAAATGTTTTGCTTTTAATCAGTGAGCGCTCCTTTATGAAAGAGAGGTTATAAAATAGGAATGCCAAAAGGAATGTTTGAGTTAAGATAGGCAATGGCTCAAAGGAAAGCCTAGAGCTGACAATTGCACCCAGTCATAATTATAAGGATCTGCTTAAGTATTTATTATGTTATCACTAAGCATTATCAACCCCTTTCATCAATAAAAACAAAGGAAACGCATACATAATAGCATATTTCTGAAATCCTACCCACGCAAAATACTGAGCACTACATTTTAAAGTTGAACATCATTCCCAGAAGTTCTGACAATTACTCTACATTAAAAAAAAATCTGGAGAATGCATGGCCATCAAATATTTATATAAGGACAAGAGCAATTCTGATTAGTCTCCTACTTTTTTCTTATACCAAATAAAGGACCCAGGTTCAAATGTGGGCCCACAGAGGTATGACATACACAAGCATCATTTCTAAAAGGCTAGGAGCACTAAAAAACAAAGTATGGTGCCTGACATATAGAAAAAGCTCAATTAGTTCAATCGATGAAAGCATGAGCGTCTTGCACTTTTGACTATAAAACACTCAAATTTATGAAACCTAGCATTCAACACAGTCTTGAAGGCCCAAAAGTCCTGTGTACTAAGATGACGAACTGCCAAAAAATTCTGCCAAAGCAACTGATTCAAGTTTAATCTATGCTTATGTATTGGGTATGCAAAAGCTTTACGATATTGGGAGCTTGCCATGACTCTGGCAAGGGTATTCCAAAATGACCCTCAAAAGAGAGGGTACGTAGCTCAAAATGATAAAATGTCCTGCTTCTCTAATTTAGCATCTTAAAAAATAATTTTCAAAACTAAAATTAGAACTTGCTAATTGATTTCTAGTATGAAAACATGACTACAACACACCTACCAATTAAATGCTTGAAAGGTAGTTGATGATCTCGAAGGTTCAGGTGAGCTATATGTCCAACTCTGCTGAACCCAGAAGTCACATCTTGACCTTCAGGAAGCACAGCTCTCAAGATTTCTTCTGACTTAAAATTTTCGTAAGTTAGTTCCAAATTATATTTAGATATCTGTGGATTGACATTAAGCTGTCTTAAAATATCTAGTTCTGCTTTCTCAAAGGAATCATTAGTAAACATTTTATAGGGATCCAACATAATTAGCCTGCTTTCTTCATCTTCTGGGTCTTCAATCACACGTTTTATGCCTGGGCGCTGCAGTGCCGCCCTTTTAAGGGATCGCATCAATTTACTGACAATTTCTTTCCTCACTTTAAGCACTGGGATGGTGACTGTCTTTTTAAAAGCTGTTCTATCAAGTTTTGTCATTCCTCGAACATCAGAGGGGGGTGCAAACAATTCAGAGTCTCTCTGATTTGTTTCTGTTTCAGGCATGGTTGAGAATCTTTTTCTTTGATCCAACAAGAAAATACCAGTTGCTCTGCTAAGCTTCTGTATCAGTGATGTCCAAGCTAGTGGAATTGATTCTGATTCAGTTATTCTACAGTTTTCCACTTTGAGAAGTCTTCTTGAGAATGCAAATGGCCTCCATAAGATCCTAAAAAAAGTATTAAGAAAATACCATAAAGCTACAAACTAACTTCATGTTCACACTAGGTTTTGAGAATAGAAATTTAAATCCTGTTTTAAATAACCTGCTAAATGCTGCTAATTAAAACTTTTAGCGGCACGTACAAAGTATACTATCTTTTCCAGGATAGGATGACTTTTATTAGTGGCAAATAATAAATTTGCAATTTCAGCCCACCTGCTGGCAAGACAAAGGCTTAGTGATCCATCAGCCTTCCTATACTCCATGAAGCTCTCCACCCACAATTTTCTAGAGAATACATCTGAGATTGGCGTTAAAGGATCATCTCTAAATGAAACGGTCATTATATTTATGACTTTATCAGGGGCAGTATTTACTAGGATATTCTTTTAATTTTTTTTTTATTTTTCCTTTTTCTCCCGAAAGCCCCCTAGTACATAGCTGTATATTTTTTAGCTGTGGGTCCTAGTTGTGGCATGTGGGACCCGCCTCAGCATGACTTGATGAGTGCGCCATGTCGGCGCCGGGATCCCAACCGGCGAAACCCTGGGCCACGACGCGGAGCGCGCGGACTTAACCACTCAGCCACCGGGCGGCCCCTACTAGGATATTCTTATGGGTGCTTATTGTGTCAGACGCTGTGCTAAATGCTTTTCACACTTGATCAATCTTGGGAGGTGTGTGGGATCGCACCCTCATTTTGTGAGTAAACTAAAGCTCACAAGTAGGTTAATTCACCAGACGCCTCGTTGCTGGTAAGTGGCTAAGCAAGGACTGAAAGCCAGGCCTGCTGTCTTCAGTGCTTGTGTTCTTAACATACTGCTAGGTTGTTTGTCTTGACTGCCACAAGTCCTGCCTCTAACTAGAGGTTTCAGTATCTTGAGGAGGATTTTGCTGAGTGTTATATGCACATCCCATTAACAGTATCAGTTATTCGGCTTGCCTTCTAGAATACCAAAGAAGTAATTGTAAGTGGAAAGCGCCCTGCCCCGGAACCCTGAAAAGCAACAAACTTCACAGGGTTCAAAATGGGTCTAGCAGTTACCCAGCGATGTCATCTTGGGTAAATTACTCAATCTGAGTCTCGGTTTCCCACCTGTAAAATGAGCTAAAGGCTCTAGCAGAAAGCTTTTGGGAAGATTAAGCAGACTCCTCACCACGCTGTACTCGGACCGAGGCTCAGCACCGGGGCGCGGGGGTGACCTCGCGACGCTTCCTCGCCCAGGCAGCGCGAGGCGGAGAGCAGCCCAGGCGGGCGGGTACCGCCACCGGACCCACAGCCCCTTGGGACTATCAAGGGTACCGCGGCCGCCACCTCACCAAGGTCACCATCTCAATTCCCGGCGCCGCCCCGCCGCGGGCTCCTAGACCAGACCCCTCACCTCATGCTCTGGTGCAGCTCGGAAAGGGACGGCGGGCGGAGAGGTAGGCCCTCGATGACGTCATCACCGCTCGCCGCCGAGGGGCGGGCGTCAGCAGCTCGCGCCGATTCCTTCCTTTCTTCCCCACCCTAGAGAGGTACGGGAACGGGAAGGGCAGGGCTCGCAGCCCCGCCTCTGGCGCGCCTAACGACGAGACGGCAGGGATATTAGCTGGCAGATGGACCTGGCAGTCCGCCAGCGAGCAGCATGCAGGCGCCCGGGCGGACCCTCAACGCCCAACGGGGCTGGTATGTCTCTGCCCAGCAGCTCGAAGAGGCGGAGGCGGAAGAGTCGTGCCCGTTGCTAAGCAACGTAAGTGGGCTCCGCGCTTCCCGGCGCTCACGGCCTCTGGGCTTCCCTGAAGTGCCTGCCAAATAAGACCGGGAAAAGAAGGGCGACGGCCCGGGGAGAGGGGAGAAGCTGAGCCTGACTCCTGGGGGATGGGGCCCAAAGGCAACAGTGAGATTCAGATGAGATCCGGCGGAGTGCTTGAATGTGAAAGCGGCCTAACAGGTCCTAGGAAGAAAAGCTGAATGGAAGGTGCAGGTGGAAGAGAGGCAGCTCCGAGTGGAGGCTGGGGACCCGACTGGTGGAGCAGCCCTAGGGTCACGTAACTCTCTGCTGTGTTAGTATCTTTGTCGGCTTCCTGTTTTCTCCACCAGTCTTGTGAGATTTTTGCAAGAGTCACAAGACTTTTCTTTTCTAGACTTAGTCATTGAGGGCCTATAAACAGTACAGAAATCCTTAGCGGCGAAGGAGGGAAGGTTGGCCTGATAACAAATACGTAGCACTTCCCTGACCCTAAAGCCTGTGCAGTGGGCACTCGGCTTTTTAAGCCAAATCACTGGACTGTAACAGTTTTTAGTCCCAAATGCTGTTTTGGAGGAGGGTGTTTTCAGGCGTGTCCTCGCCAGAGCAACGTGAATTGCTTCCGTTTATTATATCGTCGTTACAAGGTATTCCTGCCCATCCTTCCTGTGGAGCAAACTTAATTCATTAAGTATATAAATAGCGATTGGTTTTGCAGACCTGGTATTTCAGGAGCAACTGTTGTCTCCAGCAGCCCCAAGCTGACTCAGGGATTCTTCAGTAGTCACGTGAGCTGAGGCCATCTCCCTTCTCTCCGTCACTACCTCATTCCTTTCTATCTTCATCTTTTGCAGTCACAAGGTTAGTCATGGCTCTTCCTGAAGCCTGCGTAGCCTCTGTACTGGTGGAGATGATATTCCTAGGAAACTGGATTCCTGGAGCTGCACTAGTGGGAGGTGGAAAGGGAAGAAAGGACACCAGTGCTGGTTGAGCAACTAGTGTGTAACACAATGCCTGGTGGTTTGCAGGAGACCTTCTCCATAACCTGTCAGTCATTTCTTGATGAAATTTGAACTTCACCATCCAAACATTTAACACTATTAAATTTATGTGCTTACAGGAGTTTCACAGACAGAGCTCTCCAGGTGTTTCATTTGGTCTCTCAGTATTTAATTTGATGAATGCCATCATGGGAAGTGGCATCCTTGGCTTAGCTTATGTTATGGCCCATACTGGTATCCTTGGATTTAGGTGAGTTTTTTTCTTATTCTACCATTGATTTTTTTTTTTTTTTCATTTTGATAGTATACTGAGAAGCAAAGAGATAGGCTGCAGAAGCTGGTGCTATACAATTTCTAGTTAAATTATTTCTGGGGTTTTAGCATTTTCCTGCTACTCTTATATTGTTTCAAGCCTGTAGCTTGGAGGGATATTATATAATTTGTATTTTTTTATTCAAAAGTGTGGCTCATTTTAAAAAAATAGAAACTTGATCCACATTTGTTTATAACCTTAAGAAGTGGCCTATTTGTTGTGTCAGGTTGTCCAAAGTGAATCAAAGTTTGTCGGTCATGCAGATTGCTTACAAATAGCAATTTTGTGAATGTAAATAAAGCACATAATCTTTTCATTCATCTCCATCTCTTCCACTTCTCCTGTTGTTAAGTAGTGTTGTTTCCCTTTCCGAGGCTAGACGTGTTCTTTGCCTGTTCCTTTTCATCTTTCAAGACTGGGCTCGGATGCCAGTTTGCCCAAAATAGAAGATATTCCTGGCTTTTCTGTGTTCCCATAGTGCTTTCTATATTCATGCTGTTATTGTAATGTGTTATGATGATTGTGTGCCAGTTAGTTTCCCCACTAAACTCTGAAATTCTTTAGAACTGGACCCTATCCTTAGCATCTACACCCATGGTTAATAGAATGAATGGATGTTTGTTTTATTTTGTCAGTAGAAGCAGACCTATTTTACTAGGAAATTTAAAATATGAGAAAGTCTCATTTGGCTGGTGTTTTTTTTTTTGCCTTTATTTTGAATTAAATAAGCAAATCAATTTTTAAGTAACCCAACTTGCTTTTATTATGGAATGTGTTCACAGACTTTCATAATTTTAAAACTTCAAAACTATATGTGACCCCTTAGGCAAGACATAGTCATAGGACTTATTTTTTGGTTCCCTTTGGAAAATCATGTTTTACACTCTAGGGTCTTTCATACGCATGTGTACACTGAATGTGTGCTCACTGAATCATGTCACACTTCTCATTTGGTGACACCAAACAGTTATTTTGTAAGGTGTCCGATGTGAGTTTCCTGACAAGTGTACTTTCCATTTCAGTTTTCCTACTTATTAACAAGCGTTAAATGCACCACAAAGATAGTATTTCTTCAGCTGTTGGGGCACTCCACGGGGGCAGCTCTCTAGAAGCTTGTCCTGCCAGTATCTTCCTGAGAATGAGTAGGGGGTCATGCATGTTGTTTCTTTCCACTCTGTTGGTGGGAGAATCCAAATTATTACATTGCTTGCACTTTTTTCAAATTGTGTCATAAGAAGTGTGTTGACTGCATTTGGTTTGGTTTGGTGACTGTGTGTGTTTAATAGATGCTAGGAAATGCAGTCAATTCAGTTTTATAGATAAAGTATGACAGGGAGGTACACATTATTGGAAGGGGGGGATGGAGGAAAGGAAAAAGGAGAAGACAAGGAGATTTCACCACTGAAACTTCTCTTTAGACTAAGAATAGGAAAAAATAGTCATAAAAGGGAACTAGTGCAAGATCATCTAATGGCTGAACCAGCAGTCAGCAGACGAGAGTGCTAAAGGAGAAGATTTGTTTTTGTTTTAAAGTTTGTTTCTTTCTGATTTCTTTTTTGGTTTTAAAAGCAGTATATTTTCATTTAAATAAAATTTGGTAAATACAGAAAAGTATCTTCTCTCTTTCTTTACTGACTATAATCCAACTACTTAAAGACAGTCCCTGTGAACATTTGAATGTGAAAAAAAAATTGTTTTGTAATGAAATACCATAAAAAAGAAACTTTTTAGGGGGTTTGACCATGTACTCTTATATTTTAGTTTCCTGCTGCTGATAGTTGCTCTTCTGGCTTCTTACTCAGTTCATCTCCTGCTTAATATGTGTATTCAGACAGGTGAGTAAAAATATGCTGATTCATTTGATGAAGCAGCCCCTTGAGATTATATCTACGTGCAGGATTGGATGTCTTAAATCTAATTTCCAGTGAGGCTACATTATTATTAAGTAGGGTTGTTGAAATGGAGAATTTCAGAAGGCCTGGATATATGTCTATGTAGACCCAGTCCTACTGGGGAATATCCAAGGACGTGATGGGAGCGGGAAACTAGCATTGTTACCTGCATTTCTCCTCAGCACACAACATAGTTTCCTGGATTAGAGTAGATTAGACAAAGCACCTGAAAGCTGTTCAGAGCATTCAAACCTTATGTTATGGGGTAGCAGTAGACAGGTGTTCATTCTGATCATATTTTCTCCTAGGGTGATCACTTCCTCAAGGAGAACACCCCAGATCTACTACTGCCTTCCCTTTTTCCTGTCTGTCTGCCGGGATTGTGGGAGGCAAGGTCACTAAGCTTTGATTTACTTAGATAGTTTTGTATTTCAACTTGCAAGTCCAGAATAAGATAGTTTTTTGTAAGTGACAGATGTATATGCAGTTAATACAATACATATGTTTACATGGGTTTTTTCCATTTGGAACTTCATCATGCAGTTCAGTTTTGCATGAGGACTTTTAACAAGTCCTCTAGGTTATTCTTGTGCAAGTTACAGCTTATAGTTCACAGCTGTAACTTGCACCAATACCTTTGGCCATCCAGTTTATGAATGAATGCCTTTGCTTTCCAGGGGCTTGGGTGATATTAATCTCAAAGTAACAAGTTGTTCATAACAGCATCCCAAATTCAGGAATAATAGCCTTAAATAAGTGTATCTAAATCCTGCTGAAACTTGACTAGAATTTTAATGACATGTTTTGAAATTTTGCTTCTTTGTGTGAAAAAATTATTTTTACTTAATTGTGATAGTTTAACATCTTAATAGGTTATTTTATTATGGGTTCTACTCAAAGATTAATACATTAGTCAACTATGTGGCAATTCTGTCTTCATTAACTAAAATGTTTCGCTTTATTAGTTTCAACTATTTGAAAGTAATATTCAATTTCTGAAGATTTCCAAGTAATGCTAGTTTTTTACTCTCCCTCAGTTTCATCTATATTTAACTTTAAAATTCTGACACTGTCTGTTGTTCTTTTCTGTAACTTTGGGGCATATAATGTGCAAACCTCTGTATTTCTTTCTTTTTTCTTTTTCCTTGATTTTTGTAGCTTACTTGGTCCATGAACTAGCTTCTTCATGGTTCTTCGTACACACTGATGCACGTCTTCTGTTGAGTGAATTCCTTCAGTCAGTGTAAAATTCCCTGTGCAGGTAGGCTTTGTAAAAAAAATACGTATATATAGAAGACTAGAGAATAGCATGTGACTAAATTCCTCCTCAGTTTGTTGGACTGTCATGAAGGAGTATCGTGCTGAGATCAGAGGCGTTGGTCAGAGAAAGGGCTATCAGAAGTCTTGTACAAAACAATTTCTTTATTTATTTGCCTGGAGGTAAAAGGTGAAGAGAAATTTTTATCTTTATAAAAGTAAAGGATTTCTTTACGTGAAATTCTGATATTTTAGATTTTATCTAGGGTTTGGGGTCTATCAGGACTTTTCTTGGGAGCTGAGCTGGCATATAACGTACCTTAATCTCTCTAGCCTTTCGTCTTGGTAATGGTAAGCCTTTCCTTTTGGGATTGTTGTGAGAATGAAATAATGTATATAAAATGCTAGCTTTTATTATGAGTTTTCATTGGGGCAAAACCCTTAAGGATTGCAAGGTTTTGTATACACTGCTGGCTCAGAAAGAGTTCGCTCATTGCAGTTCTTTGGGGAAACTTCTCTGCCCTGGGAATAAACCCTTAGTCTCTTCTTCTGGCCTCCATATCACTATCAGCACGAGGGAATGAGAGTTCTGGAACTCACCGTATTTCCAGTCAAGTCCCTACTCCCTAGTCCTTGATTCCCACACTCACTGCATTGTCACCATTATTTGCCTTGAGATTATTTCGATTAATGACATTATACCATTTACCTTAATTTACGTCAGTCACTTCAAGAATCCTAGGTTATCCTTCATTTCCCAGGCTTATCTCATGTGGCCCTGTCATCCATTTTCTGACCTCATCTCCCTCTCCTCTCCAACTCCTGAAACCCTTCCACTGTGCTCTCTAGAACTCATGATCAATCATCAGCAAAACCCTGTGTCCTCAACTCTTTTCTGAACATTTCCTTCCCTTCTTGCTCCAAGTCTTCTCTGAGGACATTGCTTTCCCTGTGGTCCTTTCTTCCATGTCCCTCGTACTAGTTTGAAGATGGGATAGATTTCCCATTCACACCTCATTTTCCACTTCTCAACCACCTTCCTCTCCGTAAACCCCAGCTTTGAATCTCATTACTCCATAACACCTGCTGCTCCCCTTGCTATTATCACCTATAGTCTCTTCAGCCACTTTCTGTCATTTTGTAAAAATTTTAGCTCCCACTTTACTTTCAGATTCTTCAGTGTTACCCCTGTTATAATTCTGGATGATGTTAATATTCATGTTATAATCCTTCTAATACTTTCATTTCCTTAACTTCTTGTCTTCTAATGATCATATTCCGTACCTCCCTTGGCTACTTACTTCCATGGTCATACCATTGATCTTGTCATTACCAAAATTACATCCCCTCCAGAATCTCCTTTTCAAGAATCTTGCCTTCCACCCACCACTGTCTCTTATCTTTCTAACTCATTCTCTTAAGCACTCCGACTCTGACAATTCTCTGCCCCCACCAGGACTTCAATTCATTGATCCTACCACTTGCACTGTCCCTCACTCTTTTGTCCATATTTCCCCTCTTTTATCCAGTTCAAGTGTCATGGTGTGTTATTGCAATCACTCCCTTGCCCCTCTCTTGCATCATTATACTCCCCTGGCAAAACCCCGACCCTAGTTAAATGTAACTCTGCCTACTTCACACATGCGCCTGTGCAGCTGAATGTTCCTAAAGAAAAACACAAAGCTATGCAGGTTGATATCACTATAATCCAATGCCTGGTGGACCTATGATGCTATCACACAATCTTTATCAACTTCTTTAGTTCATTCACTTGCTTACTCTGCTGTCTAGGAGATGACTTTTTCATATCTTCTTTCTCTTACACCTTCAGCACATTCTCCTTGGTTTCATTCTTAGCTGATGTCCTCACTTTCTATTTCACTGAGAAAATAGAAGCAATCATAAAAGAACTTTATAAGCTCTTGCCACCACTTCTGCCTACCCATTTTCATCTGTGCCATATACTCTGTTACTTTCGATGAACTCTTGTGTTCTCATCTAAGGCCAGCCCCTCCACTTGTGCTGTGATCCTTCTGCTCTCACCTACATCTCTCTAGCCACTCTTTCCCTTCTCTCTTTTTCATCATCTTTGTTCCTGTCTACTGTTTTCTTCCTGTCAGTTTACAAATAGTCTATAATTTCTTTCATTTTAAAAATGACTCCACATTCCTTCGATATGCTTCATACCTTCATAGCAAAACTCCTCAAAAGAGTTGTCTATACCCGATATTTCTCCTTCCTCCTATTCTCTCTTGAACATGCTCCAGTTATGCTGTTCCCATCATTTCACTAAAATTACTGTACCAATGAGTTCCACATCAATAAATCTAGTGATCAGTTCTCAGTCTTCATCTTGGTTGACCAGTCAGCAGCATTTGACACAGTTGATGGCTCCTTCCTCTGTGAGACACTTTATTCACACTCTCCTGCCTCTCCTCCTATTTTGCTGAATACGCCTTCCCTCTTCTTCTGCTGAGTTCTCTTTATCTCCCCATCCTCTAAACAGTGGAGTACCCTTGGGAATATTCCTCTGATCTCTTGTCTTTTATGCTCACTTATGGGCTCATGATGATCATAAAATTTACACCCCAGCCTGGAACTCTTCCCTGAATTTCAGGCTCATATCCAACTGTTTCCATGCCATCTCTAGTTGGATATCTAATATATATCTCAAATTTACCAAACTCTCCATCTTTGCACTGCCAATTTATAGCTTCCACTGTTTACTCATCTAAGTATATTTTCCTTCTAGTTGGCTCAGGTCAAAAATTTTGGAGTTATTCTGGACTTTTTTCGTTTTTCTTTTTTCTCATACTCCAAATACAAGTTCCAAATGTGAGAAAGAATCTGTTCTGTAATTTGGAAGGTAAAATGTTGATACAACAATTGTGAAGACCATGATGGAAAGGTATAGAGGTTACCCATTTGATGCAGCAATCATGCTACTAGATATTTACCTAAATGAATTGAAAGTTTATGTTGACACAAAAACATGCACATGGATGTTTATAACAGCTTTATCCAAAATTGCCAGAACTTAGAATCAATGAAGATGTCCTTCAGTAGGCGATGAATAAACTGCTCTATCCAAACAATGGAATATTATTCAGCAGTAAAAAGAAATGAGCTATCAAGCCATGAAAAGACATGGAGGAACCTTACAAATGCATATTACTAAGTGAAAGAAGCCAATCTGAAAAGGCTCCATCTGTATGATTCCAATTATATGACATTTTTGAAAAGGCAAACTATGTAAAAATATCAGTAGTTGCCATGGTTAGAGAAGAAGAAGGAATGAATAGGAGCGCAGTGAAACTATTCTGTATGATGTTCTATTGGTGGACATATGTCATTATCCATTTGTCAAAACCCATAGAATGTACAACATCAAGAGTGAACGCTAATGCAAACTATGCACTTTGGGTGATGATGTGTCAGTTCAGGTTTATTGATTGTAACAAATGTATGACTCTGGTGTGGGATATTGCTGGTAGGGGAGGCTGTGCACATGTCGGGTAAGGGAGGATGTGGGAACTCTCTGTACTTTCTGCTCAGTTTTGCTGTGAACCTAAAACTGCTCTAAAAATAAAGTCTATTTAAAAAGAAGGAAGGAAAGAAGCAAACTTAGAGGAATAGAGGAAACATACTTCAGAAACCAGATGAAAACTTGAAAAAAAATGTTATAT